ATAATAATAAATATAAACAATTTTAACAAATGATTATGTTCTGGTTCTGTTTTGCGACCACAAAACGTCCACAAATATAGAAAAATGTATTTACCGAAAATGCAATTACTAGAAATATTAAAAATTGGAATGTGATATGACATTCTTGGATTCAGAAGAGCATATTAAATATAAAACGGATATCAACATCAAAAAATTAAATGCGTGTTTACCTTTGTAATTGTTTACATTTTCCGAAAATTTTATGTAAAATTATTTTATGTACAAAATATTTTATGTAAAATTACGCAAAAATTATTTTCGAAAACTATTATATAAGTGTTATAAATTATTATTTAAAGATGTGTCGTTGAAGAACAAATTTATTATGTTACTATCCCTGTCTTCAATACTGCAGTTGTAATAAGATGCCGAACAAATGTGACCTTTTGCAACTTTCAAAAATTCAAAACTTTCAACGGAAATGAGATCTGCGCTAATTTTGAGTCCTTCACACTGCTCAGGGAAACATCATTTTAAAATATTTGAAATCATTTTTGGAAAATTTTGAAAATGATAAGGATAAAGTACTCCCAAAAAATGGCCTGAGTCTCGCCATGTAAAATAAAGCATCTACTCAATTCAATTCAAAAAAGCAAAATATCAGTTCTAAATTCGCAGGACCTCGAGTTCGTCCAGATAGATTGGAGAAAATCGACTGAACCAGAACTCCACAATTCAAGTTTTTCTGTTGAAATGTCCTCGACTTTGGCTTCCGTTACAATACTTTCTATTTATAACGTAAATATATAGAATATCGAGAAAGTAAAAATGCTTGGAAAAGAAATATTATGAAGTTGCTACTAATGTTGAAATTGTGAGTAGATGTAGGGATCTTCCCGTGAATCTGGACTATCATAACTATCCAAAGGAATCAATAAGCACATTGCTTGTTCCACCTCCACTGCTCTCAGTAATAGATTTACCATTAAGCTAAATAAGCTACATCTTGTGGCCTCAGTTTATCTCTTATATTGAACGAAATTTCTTCCAAACAGTTTTCTTTTCTCGCATACTACTTACGTAGTATATAAGAGACAGCATTATAGTGCTGTGACAAAAAAAGGCGATTTTTCGTAAAAAAAACTTATTTGGGGTCTTCATACTGAAAAAGTGGATGTATATAAAGTAGTAGTAATTATGAAATAGTAGTCGTAAATTACTTCGTCAAACACGTTGTGCAGCACATTTTGTAAGTTATTGATACCGAAAAATTGGATGACTGCAAAACGTACCTTTCAGTGTTTGTCAATCTACCTGTGTCTGAACAATGACAACGGCTAAACGTAAGGCAGGATTTTCAACGAAATGAATATTCTTCGAACGATCTGGCTGACATAGCAGTCCCCTGAGTTTTAAACGCTTATTTTGATTTTTTGGTGAACTTTACATAAACTCTCAACATTTTCAAAATTTTCTCAAAATTGGATACAATTTTTTAACATTTTATCTCGGATAGCGCACAAACGCCCATAAAATGCCGTCTCATTTTCGTGGAATTCTCTAAATTTTCGAAACATTGCAACAGTTGAAAATCATTTCAAATTCTTCCTACAACTACAATACTGAAGATGAGATTTTTTTCAAAAGAAATTTGTTCTCTACAACTAGTTCTTTGATTGTTGTAATGTATTTTTTTTTAATTACCAGTAGTTTTGGGAACATTCTTTGGTGATGTATGGGTAGTATGAAAAACAAGATTTTTTAAAAAACGGACAATTTTGTTTGCACTAATGTGCAAGTCACTCAATATCATGTCAAACGCCATTTTCAAGTGTTCTTTTGATTTATCAGAAAATACACTTTTTAAAAAACGTATACGTCGCGTCGTGAATATTTATATTATGGACGTTTTCATGTATTATTGCATATGAAACTAGAACTGTTTAAAATATTGAAGTCGTAGGCTTCCGCGACCAGAGTCATGTGGGTGATCTGGGATCATATCATATCATACCAGCCCTGAGGAAGACCACGACAGGATGGTCGAAACGTCGGCAACTCAGCCTTCGACGCGGCGTCACCCGGACAGCCCAGATCAACCTGTTTAAAATATTCTTTACTAAGTTTTTCGAAAACTCGAAAGTTTTCTGCGAGAATGAAATCGATTTTGCGCACTTTCAGAACTGCTCCAACAACATTTTTTCAAAAACCAACCCAAATTTTTCAATGACGATATACTTAGAGGATTATATTCTTCAATAGTCTTAAAGTCATATTTCAATTCTATTATTAGGAGACTGAAAACATGAGAAAAGTGTGGGGGGTATGTAATTTAGGCGCCGATAGGTAGCAACTAGAAAGAGGGTGGGGCATAACTGAAAAGCTAGCCACGAATAAAGAGATTAGGAAAATGACTAATGTGGGAAAGTCTGTGTCATTTTGTAGTGCTATTAGTTTTAAACTTATAATTTCCACTTTTACTTAAATATTTTTTACAACTAGAGAAAAACGATCCCCCCTCCCCCGAATAATTGTATTTTTTGTATGCATTTTTATTCACAATTTTATTGCAGATGCGGCATGTAATACAGATCAATCAGTTACTGAAGACGGAAATTCCTCTACCCATTTTCGGTACAAAGCCTTCGTAACTTTGGCGTAACATAACTGAACTGTGCGTGCTACAGGAAGTGCGACACACGTGCGCACAAGACAATTGCAATTCCGCCTGAAAGAGTTGTACGCGCTCATGACCAGCACGCAGATGTTTTCGTTGCGCCACGAATCTGAAGCTTTCGCTCACCCGAGTCCCATCAGTCCATTCCAGCAATGAAGGAATGAAGAGGACGTGAAAGGGGGAGACTTTGGGGATGGATTTAGCGTAGTTTTCTAGGAAATACACAGAAGCATGCTTTGCCAAAAACATCGCCTGAGGCAGGAATATTCCTCAAAAGTCAACCTGGTAGCAAAATAACCCATTAACTCTGTTAGAATAGTGCTAGCACAAATTCAAGTAAATGATTTAAACACCCACTTAATTTCAGAGGAGTGCAAACTCGCCCTGAAGGAATTCAATTACATGGACGCGGGTTTAATTTACATGATTTATCTATCTTGACCCTAATGATGATCCTATGTTTATGTGTTTGCATTCATTTGAATGCTGTGTAAATGCATAGCGAAATCTTCGAGTTTTCTATGTTCTAGTGCTGTACAGAACAGGTTTTCAAACTGTGAATCGTTGGACGACAGTTTCGTCCGATCCTCATCCCATCCACTCCTATATTCAACCTCTTTAACCATGTCGACGGAAAATCTTTCTCTTATAGAAAAAATACTGAATGGATATCGAATTAAAATTATGAATAAATATATAATAAAATATGAAAAAATCTTTGAATAAAATATCAGCGCTGGAAAATTATCTGACAAAATTGAGGCTTCCATTTATTTTTATTTTTTTCTCTCTTTATGGACTTGCATGATAATAGGAAAATTAAAATGAGAAGGGTGATATAGTTTAATTACTTATTTGATTTATCGTCCAACACAGTAACGTATTGTGGTTGTGACGTAAGGGAGTCAAGTGTAATCTTGCGCACACGATCTTGAGGACTAGTGTTGTGGGATCATAGTTTAAACAAATGACAGACGGAGTTCGGCGCGAAACAATGTTTTTGAATGATTCAATATGCAAACATTCCGAAAACGTTAATACAAACTGCGTGCTAGTTATAAAAAACCTACTTCCTAATATTTTTAAATACAACAAACTTAAATTTACTGTGTTATTAAGGTGATGTGTGAAATCTTATTCGAGACCAATGATACTTGAGGAAAGGTGAATTGTAAAATAAGCTAACAAAAGGAAAAAAGTATTGCTGCAACTATATGATTTGATAATGAGATGTTGCAATTATTGATAGAAAACTATATATGAAGTAAAAATTGAAAGGTGTTACTGTTAATAGTGACGTAAAGGTTGAGAAGATGGACACATTGCTTAATATGCGAGTTGAAGACCTGACATAAGCGTTTCTATTAAGCTTGATAATCATCCACAAAAGTTTAAGGACTTTTGATCAACATTTTAACAATAACAACAATACCTGAAATTTTATAGGTAGCGAAGCTACTTAACTAGGCCCTATGATATATGTGCATGCATTTTTTCGTTTACATAAGTGCGTATTTACTCTAATGACTTTCCTTTTACACATCAATCTAAAACTGGACTTCTCTCCCCCACCCCCAATTGTGAGGGATTAATGTATTCCACTGGATTCTTATTACTGAAGGGATGGGGTTAATGTGATGAATGCATAGGAAAACGTAAATAACACACTAATGTTGAATTAAAGTTACTATTTCCTTCACCTCGAAGGCTTCATAGAGAGAGGTTCCAAACTTCTTGGAAATACATGGGTACGGAATTAATATGACTTGCTAATACAAATTTTAGTTTATTTGTCGTAAATGAGAAAAGTACGCTTCTGAATCATTGTAATAAGTATGTAAGGAATAGCAGAAAACGACACGGATTTTCGTAATTAAGCAATATTTATCTCCCAACCAACCTTTTTTCAAATGCAACAGAGGTTGCAATAAAAAGCAACAATGACCTGACGTTGTAAATTAAATAAAAGAAGTAAGGATCAAATGTACGGCTGGAAATATTAACAATTGTATTATTTTACAATATATCTTTCGAGTTCGTCTCATGTTGTTTAAAAACAAAGACATGCTTATCAATCAGTCTCATGGGAAAAAACACTTAGCATTTGCAGGTTATGGAAGGATACACATTGAAAGAAAACAGCGAGGGGTAAACTACACATTACTACAGGAAGAATTATGTTCCAGCATCCCATGTGTGTAGGCAATCAAAACCGTACAATTCTGAGCCTGTATAACATTGAATTATCGATGACTGGTCAACAATTCGTATCATGATGCTTTAGGGAAGTGTGGGATGGTGCTTCCAAAGCGCTGCTAAGTAAACAGTCTCTATTGATCGCATGCTGCGGAGAATCAACCCCCAACAAGCAAACACGTCAGAACAGCTCACCTGTCACACGTGGAAAGCTTGGTTGGCCTGTATTGCAGGGATGGATGGATTGCTGTTAGATGACATCGTGCATGATGTCCAGCTGATTATGACAAGAATGGTTACGCGAACCGCGAACCTCACGAGTTGGTGGGCGGACGGACGGACAGCAGCTGAACCAGCTACGGGTGACAGTGGCGTCAGCCGTGTGTGGGACGGTAACTACTCCAATCATCCAACAGCAAATTATATCCTCTGGACAATAGAAGGTATTGAGTGCATAGATGGAGCTGACAAAAAGAGTAGCAAACGTTTTGAGCTTTTAAAAGATACCATATATTCTTCGGACTGTATCAATATATATGATAAGAAAGGAACTTATAATTTCAAATACGGAAAAAATAACGTAGATAAATGACGGGTAATGGCATGAATGGTTCAATCAATCAATTTTGAAGATTCAGAAACAATTGCAATGAAATAATTGACTAGAAGATAAACTCGTGAAATAACTTAGTTTTAAATACGACCCATTTTACCATAAGAAGGATAATTTTATTCGTGTTGTGGCACAATGCTTGGGTCTGCCCCTTCTATTTACAGTAAGTATGACGTCACATTTTCTCAGCTGTTATCTCGGCGCAAATTCCGCACTGTTCCGCTCTCTGCGCCGGACACACGATTTTCCTTTTCTTGTTTTACTCCCATTGGGATATCTTCTGTACTCTCCGAACAGGCATCGGGGTTGGTCGCTTTGTGTGAAGAAGGCTGTGAGCAGCACCTGTGACCAGTGACAGAGCATTGCGCAGCAAGCTAGAAGTGAATGATGTATTAGTGAACTGGACAAAGATGTGTTTTTGTATTTAGGCACAATGACGCGAGTTGATTTGAAAGTAGTGTTATTGGGAAGTGAATATGTGGGGAAAACTAGTTTAATGGATCGATATGTGAATGATCGTTTTCGAGGAAATACACCTTATCAAAACGTGAGTACCATAACCTGAAGTTAAGTAGACAGAAAATGGTTTTCAAAGGGAAATGATGATACTTTGCAATACTTACTGTATTAAAACACTACATTTTATCTTTGTAGACCATTGGAGCTGCCTTTGCAGCGAAACCTGTTGAAGCAAAAGGCAAAAGATTTGTGATAGGAATATGGGACACTGCTGGAAGTGAAAGGTAAAACTTTAATTTAATACTGCTACACAAAAAATGTGGGAAGTTGTTGTGTTCAATAGTATAATTATATATTACTTTATGTAAGGTATGAGGCCATGAGTCGCATCTATTATAGAGGTGCGAAAGCTGCCATTGTTTGTTATGATATTAACAACTCTACTTCATGGGACCGTGCAAAGTTTTGGATTTCAGAATTGAGAAGATTTGAAGAGGTAATATTGCTTGCCTTCTTTGGTTGCATTGAGTTCTTATTAACAATTTCTTTTAAGAAATGCAATTTTGTGATACAGGAATGTAAAATTTATCTTTGTGCTACAAAACTTGATACTACTAGTGATAGTTCTAATGTGCGTGCAATAAAATATGAAAAAGCAATTAAATATGCTGATGGAATCATGGCAAAATATGTGGAAACTTCTAGTAAAACAGGAGAGAATGTTGGTAAGTTTTGAATGAAGTTCTATTGATAAACATATGATAATAAATGGCTTGCTTCAAAAATTTAAATATTCATCAAAACTATTTCAGACACGCTATTTAATATGATAGCTGAAGATTATATATCAAATCCTGAAAACATGAAACAAGTGGAAGAAACTATTTGTTTAACAGCCAAAGATAAAAGATCTAGTTGCTGTATTGGGGGATCATGACTTTTGTGTATGCTAGATAAAATAGTACATACGATTCTGCTATAATTGTGATGAAATACCAGAAGGCTGTGAGTGACTTTTATTCTTTTAACTGGCAATCATGTTTGAAATGTGTATTTATTGGCCTTGACACGCTATGATATATGCCTACACTTTCTTGGCACCGTTATTCTTGAAAAAGCTATGTACTTCGAACAAATCATATGTATTAACATTTTTACTTGATTTACTCATAAATTCTACTTGAGTTGTGCTGGAAGAGTTAAAGGTAATTTAAGAACATGCTTCTGTGAATGCAATGTAATATATTAAAATGTACAGATGTCAGTCTTATAAATGATTTGTACAATATTTGAATACAATAAAATACTTTATATATTATCTTTGAAATAATACACATATGTAACAGATTAAAACATTACAATATCAATAATAATACTTAATTTATTCAATTTGCATGTGATGACAATTCACATCTGCTCTCATCTATAACTTGGAATATCACAGAATATTAATACTGATGCAAGGAGTTGCATACTTTTCTACCTTTTATGAATTTCCTCACTTTACAATTGATTAATTAGCAAGGAGAAACTGTTACTGATTCATAAATGTAATCAAAACAGTGGACCTCAAAAGGCATACAAAAGTAGAATATATGTGGATTTGTTAAGTCTTCAACATTCAAAATTCCACTAAACCTGAAATGTTGCAATTGATTGTTATTTTAGTGTTTGACACATTATATATTATTCAGTCTTTTATATTAGAACGTTAATATTTTTCCACTTCTGACATAACACTTGTAAATATTATGTATTAGTTCACAAAATCAAATTTAAACATTTGTTGTTGTTGTAGTTTTTTTTTTTTGTGTTCACTGTTCTTTGGTTCCAATTCCAGCAACTTTTTCAACTTCTCTTTTCAATGTTTCATCATCACAGAAGAATTTCCTGCTAGTCACTGGCTTCAAGTTTTTGTCCAGAGTGTATGAGAAAGGTATGCCAGTTGGCAGGTTAAGTTTCATGATTTCTTCTTCAGACAAACCTGGAGAAAAGTAAATAATTTACCTTCACAAGAAACACTCGTTAGAAACAAAACACCTAACCATACAGTATGACTATACACTTCTTTTATAATTACATATTATTACATATCTTATAATTACAAAGTAAATACTCAAATATTGATTTCAATGCAAATAATTCAAATAATAGTTTTCATGCAGTAAATTAAGTAAATACTTACTATCAATATGTTTCACAAGACCTCTCAAAGACGTTCCATGGGCAATGATAAGCACCCTCTTCCCTTCCTTAATAACTGGACCAATAACATTCTCCCAGTATGGTAAAACTCGTGAAAGAGTGGTTTTAAGTGATTCTGTTTTAGGAATATCTTTTTCTTCAATTCCATGTTGAAGAAAGACAGGATTATTGACAATAGCATTGTATAAATGATGATCCTTCTCCATTGGCGGGGGCAAAACATCGTAACTTCTCCTCCATATCTGTACCTGTGTGTATTCATGTGAGAGGTATGAATTAATTTATTTTGTTTGTTGTACAAAAGACTGTGGAGCAATATTGAAAAGTGTGAAATGACAAATCGTACTCTTGGTGAATTACATAAGTAAACAGGACATAAATGTTCTACATACCTTTTCTAAACCATACTTTTCGGCAGTTTCTGCCTTATTGAGCCCAGTCAAAGCACCATAATGCCTCTCATTCAGTTGCCAAGCCTTTATTACTGTTATGGTCTTCCCCATAGTCTTCAGAACCATCTCAACCGAATCATAAGCTCGTCTTAAGAGTGACGTGTATATTATGTCGAAGTCAAAATCCTTTAATTGTTCGCCGATTTTGACAGCTTGTTGAATGCCTTTAACACCGGCAGACACTCCAATGTAAGAAACTTCAGGCATAGTTTTACGACTTTATGAACTCAAATATGTTAAAGATAAAACTAAGAAAACCTACCTTCTTCACTTAGGTCAGCATCATACCACCCACAAAATATGTTTCTTCGATTCCATTCGCTCTCCCCATGACGAACAAAAACAACAGTATGCTGCGTTGAACACACTTTACAAGGATTGCGATCTGCCATTTTTCAGAATGTATCTGATATTCAATATGCGTGAAATTTATTTACCACCACCTTCGACCTTGTTATCGCCGTTTTATAGTGTGCCCTTGAAATGCTTAAGACGCCCACACGCGCTACAACCTTGGCGTGTTTGTAAACATCATCCGTTCAAATCTTCCAGCCGCGCGAAATTCAACTTTCGTAAACGAACATAACTGTTTTATACTCGTTTGATGAAATCTAATAGAATTATTGACAATACATCTTTAAGTTTTTAAATCTCAAAATATGCATCTTTAATTTGGCCAAGAATTAATGATTTCGAGCAGTAGCATAGCGTAACGTAACGTAAATGAGTGCGGGCCTGCCCGCAAAACATAATCCGGGCCTCCTTTACAAACGTGTTAAGCTAACACAAGTAGTGATAGTACCTGAAATAATAAAAATAACCCCCTCTTTTACCTGGGCTTGCCCACATTGCGGGCGCGAACGTTACGCCACTGACTTCGAGTCAGCCTAATTTGACAGATAGGCAAGAGATCTATGAAGTTTCTTGCATCATGAATAAATCATCTGCTGAATACTGCGAATCGATACTCGCCTATTTCTGCACATTATTAAGCTTTTAAAGGTTCGTACAATGGACCTTGGTGTGTGTTTGCATATTTAAACACTCTGTTATGTTCCTGGAATTTCTGCACATATTGATGTATTTAAAAATATTACTGGTAGGTAAGCAAATACGATCGTTGCCGATTGAAATATCTTTCCGGCGAAACGAAAAACAAAAAACTTTGCAGCAACGATCCAAAATGTAAATGCCACAACAAATTGAAGCTCAAATTTTCTTTCAATCACTTTTCTGTGTTAAATCATCTAATGTGTTAATGGAGCAGAAAGCTTTTAGTAAAACCTGTTATTAAACGTTTAAGAGATTATTAGATTTAATATTTGGAAATCGAGAAGCATCTGAAACACCAAAAGATTTTTAAGAATATAAGTAAAAATAGAAATTAATCTTTATTGTGTCATTTTATAACCCAAAACAGCACTCTATGATGCAAGTAAGAGAAAAAGTGAATTCACTTTTAGTGACATCTACTGTGGATGTTTGTAAAATTATTTATTAACACTAATATAGTATATTTAATTTTGCAATTAGAAAATCATGTACACCAATATATTTGCAAAATGGGCCAAAACCACGTTATAAACAACTACATTCGAATTTGCAAACTTAAAATTCTTACTGTTTATTACTATTGTTGTTGTTATTATTATTATTATTATTATTATTATTATTATATTTTATCTCTTACATGTAAGGCATAAGAAGAAAAGTGTCGAAAACAATGTGTGTGTATTTCATCTTACATTTTGCATGTGTGTAAATATAACTCTAAACTTTAGCAACTCGAGACTAACTTTAATAATGACATAAATTGGATATTCAGCTAATAAGAGATTGCAAATAAAGATGTTATTAAACCAGATATTGAAACTGAATTCTGATTTTACGTACTTGTACATTTATTGCATTTGATCAATTTATTTTATTTTGAAAAAAATCAGGTTGGGGTTTTGAATGATTCAAATTACCAATTTAAATTAAAAAATTTTTTTTAAAGATCATTAATTTCAATAATTTTTAACAAAATGTTTAAAAGAATATTAATTTTGTTATGTTAATAAAAAAAAAAGGATTACGATATTTTATTTAGAATTGTGGGTGTAAATAATATAGATGTGAATCTAAAAATTTTATTCAGAAAAAATTATAAATTCAGGATTTCTAATTGAAGGTCAATTTAGGTTTACAAATTATTCTTAGGTTTGCAGGCTTTGAGGCTTTGCTCGATTTGAATCTTGCAACTCCGTGGAAGAGGAAAATTGTTTCACCATCCCACCAGATTTAAGTCATAGCATGCTAGTGTGCCTACTAGCGGGCTATGATGAAACATACCATCAGTTTTTTTAATGCTAAGCTGTAAAGCAAACACATTTCTCACATATTGTACGTTCTTATTATGTATTGTCTACCTTTGGTATAATTTCTGAAAATTCTTTCTCATAATTCCAGACAAATGGAATGCAGTTTTCACTCAAAAGCAATATAATAATAGCCTAATCAAGTCGAGATGTAGTCCAGAGATACTCAAAACTCTGAAATATGAAAATTTTAAAATTCATCATTCATCAGTGATTTAAATCTGTTTCCCCCCCTGAGTTTTAGAATCTGTTAGCTACAATGATGCCAAGAAAGTACCACAGGCTGACAACATAGAGCTCTAGAGATCTGGTTATTTTTGAGGCTCTCAGGGGGAATACCAGGTTTCTCTATTCATCTAAACCCCACTGCAGGTAATAATAACAACTTATTAAAAACAATAAATATTAGTTTTTGCGGATAGTTCTTTAAACAATAAACTTAACAACTCGCCAAAATTTTTTCACCAATGATTCCTGATCTTGCTTCAGTCTAGAAAACAAAATTTTAATTTACAAAACAATACTCAAACCTATCTGGTCTTATG